TATTTTGAGACAACGTGACAAGGTAAAAATAACTGACCAATCAGAGGCGCTATTAAACAAAAGCGGAGGTTCAAAACAAAAACAAACGACCTCGTTGCATCAAGGTTGGAAATGGGCCTTTAAGGTATTTTAATCCTAACATTCTTTCTCCCACGTGAGTGACAATTTTAGAAATGAAACCGTCGTATATCAAAATTCTTCGAGGTCCAGTGGACAGGAAGTTTTAAAAAGATGTTCTAGAAACTAGATAGTTTACGTGCAAAAGGCACAACGCTATCACAGAGGTCATCGGCATGGCCAAGGTATTTGTAGGTAAGATTAATTAATCGAGTGTGTTATTTTCGTCAGTCATCTTATCATTACATAGCGCAGCCTCATAGCGCAAAAACCGAAAACTAACCTCAATAAACACATCGTAACTTAAAAAGAAAGTCCTGTAGAGCTAGCCATCAAACCCTAATGTGATATTCCTACTGAAAAATTTGAAAGTAGTATTTGAATTTTCTGCATTTCGCAGCTTGTTTTGTTTTGATTATTTTCTTGTTTTTAGTGTTATCGGTGCTTTTGTTTTCGATTTCTCCATTCGGTTTTGTAGGTAATTAGAGTAACTAGCAATGATTTTGGATGAAGACGACCTCGGAATTGGAGATTATGAAATTACGTCCCTCGTGGTTAATCGTGGTGATTACGAGTTAAAGTTCTAGACTTATAAACATTCCTTGCCTTTTAGTTTGTCTTTGAACTAAAATAAACATTGCATTAAATAAGTGTAAGAACTGCTTAATCACCCCTTCATTTGATGTTGATTCCGCGTCATCTGCTTGAAACCTTAGGCCACATCTCCTCCGGCAGAGTTTCATCTGCCCAGCTAACTTCGATTCATCATGAATTCCAGAAGGGCTTGGACACAGTACGCACAGAATTGCAACATTGCTCCAAATGAACACGATTGCAATCACACCGTTGAAGACAGACTTATACATTGTTGATAGTCGAGATTCTAGCGAGCTCAACTATTCGCACAGACTTATAGCAGTAGTGGAATGACGTTTGCATTGTGGCGTGGTTGTCATTTATATCTCACATGACAATTATTGATTGTCATAATCACGTTTCTATAGATCACTCTATAATTGGCTGAAACAACGTGCTTTGTCAGAGTACATATGCATGAACGGTGTCACGCCATGGTCCAATTTGTGCAATACGCGACCATTTCTCGAACTTTCCCCTCGTTTTTGTTTCCTTCTTTTTTACCCACAAGTCTTGCATGACTTTTAGAACGAACATTGAAACGAGTTATTGGCTCTAATTGATACAGAACAATGTGTAGGTAACAACAGCACACATATGACAATATTTCGAAATTTAATTTATTGATTACATTTGATTCTATGATTAACCGCGTGATTGACATATCAATGGCGTAATCGCTACGTAAGTTGATATTCAGTTTTAAGAATGAATAGATCCCGAAAACAAAGACCCTAACACGAAGTCCCCGAAAACTAAGAATTGAAGACGAACACCCCTTATTTTCTTTACTGATATTGATAAAAGATTCCATCAAACAGATCAGTCAATTGCTCCCCCTGTCTTGCGAATTGACTGCATGTAGGAACCGTGTAATTCGGAATTCCGTAATTCCTTCAAACTGCAAAAATTTCCCACACTGCAAAAGCCCCCACGTGCTTTCTGCCCGGAAGGTCTAGAAGCTTCGGCAAATGGAATGGTACAGACACTGCGCGAGCAGTTTTGCCAAAACCAAATCGACACTCTTAATGTCGTGCTAGGCCGCCTTGAATGAATGAAGAGTAATGCCGTGTTACTGGCTGGCGTTTTCACAACGGCAAGCCGACCTTTTCTTTGAACAAAAACGGCAGGGAAATTTTGAAGGACACTAGTTTTTTTCGAAAATAAATTAAGAAAGCAAGAAAAAGGAAAAGAGAGAAAATAAAGCGAACTCCGCTATAAAATTTAATAAAATTGTCGGCAAGTTATCAAAATCGTTTAGAATGTTCGACTTCCTGCGTAAGGATAAGGTTTCTCAATTTAGCCCTGAAGGGTTCATCGATGCTTTCTCCGCATTCTCATTGATATGATTTATCGGCATTCTCATTGATATGCTTAACCGCATCCTCATTGATGTCACGTTGGTATCAAGTTCGATTGACACGAACGTAATATCAAATATAAGAATGCGGATAAAGCACAGACAAACCTTCTTGATCTAAACAAAGAAAGCTTATGAATGCGCAGGAAGTCGAATATTTTTAACAACTGATAATATTTATCTAATGAACCGATGATCCGCTAAATGTTTTAAAGGGCATGTAAACCCCAAAATACATGTTTTGCTTATACTATGTAAAAAGTGGCGTAGAAAACGAATTTGAAATTAGTTTTGTTCAATTCGACTTATTTTAGGAGAAAACCGGCATTTTCAACTGAAATTCCATTTCCGGTAAAAACAATAGCGAGAAGTCGTGACGTAGCGGTGGAACCAAAATATTGCGCAACACATATTCCCCAGTAGAACTGGTGTGGAAGTTCGTGTGAGTAGCGGTAGTTCGGAAGATGTTTTTTCAGAAGATAGCGACTCGAATGCCTTAAGCTTAGTACATGACAGCGCTGGGGATAATCCAGAATCTTCAGGAGAGTCTGGGCCACGTCCTTAACAATATGAGCCGCGTAGGGTTCACCGAAGCGATCCGCACGAAGACAGTACAGAACATGTCGACAGCGATGCGACCGTCTCGGAAACTTAGACTGGTATTTAATTTACTTTGTGATTTATTTGTATTTAACATGAAAATGCAATAAAGCGAGGGTACAATCTAAAGGAATGCAACAGAATTTTTTTTACTTGAGCTTCTGAAAGTGTTTTATTTAAAATTATCAAAGGTGCGAGTGTGGAACTTGTCAACCAATGCCGACAACTCATGAAAGTGTTTGTTGTACGGAAATCGGGCAATTGTGGCAAAATGGCCTGAAACCCAGATAAGTTGTATCACTGAGCATCCTGGTTTTCAGTCAATTTGCCTCGATTTCTGGGTGCTGGAGACGGCCAAGTACGCGTACAGGCAGCAGCAAAGCACAGATGATCACACCGGAAACGACTAAGCTAGATATATTTTCTGTTTCATCTGTTTTGTTACATTTTGAGATCGATTTACTTGAGTTGTTTCTGCCATTGATTTAATAATACAGTACTAGAGCTAGTTGTTTTTCGCTTCTTTCCTGGCAGGAAATTTCGCTAAATTGCCTACAGATAGCTTGTTCGTTGGTGTTGGGGATATCTCGGCAAACACTTTAGGGTCGCTGTGCTATCTTGTGCGGTAAACAATATCCTTCATCTCAGAAGCATTTCCATCAATAAACAAGTTGTATCATGTACATTTCCTTGTGTGGCCTTCATAATTATCCAACCCTGTTTGTGTTTGCTTCGATTTAAAATATTGAAAAGATAGTTTTGCAAGCTGAAATCAGGATCTTTTAAGTTGTACTCAAAATGATGAATATTGTCCTACTGACCTTTGAATGTATTTTCCCTGCTGTGAAAACCGTGACACAAATTCTTCTGCTGTTTCTCTGCAGGGTTTCTCAAAGGAAGCACCAAGCGGGGCTGGCTTGGATTTTCTTATAGAACATAAGGGTTGATTATGGGATCCTGTATAGAATTCTTTGTATCGAACCGACAAAATTCCAGATCACGTTATTACACACTGATATCAACGAATTCTCTTTCTTTGATACGTGTTTCGAATTCAGGCAAAGGTTCAGACATGTCAGTGTCTTTTACGGGCTCAGCGCTGGTTTTTGAACAACTGGCTTCCCCATAATATTTTATTAGATGAGAAAAAAGATGTTTTTAGAGAACCAATAAAGCTATTGTTGTTTAATTAACGAAACGTTTTCATGTCAATCGATTTTGTACTTTCTCTGTTGACCTCTAACTTTTGAAGTTAAAAGGAAAGGAAATGAACGTTTTTTGGGTTTACATGCCCTTTAAGGCTTTGATCGAATCACACCCTATATAATTTAAACTTGCCTATACCTCGCGCCATGGCCTCTTGAAAAACAATAAAAGGCTTTTTCAAATATCATAAATTAAATTTTTCTGTCCTTTAGATCTTTGTGTTTCTCCACCAAAAAAATCGAGAAATATTACCCGAACCAGGAATCAACTCAATAGATGGTAACTGAGCTCCTTGAAGACACAGTCAGTAAAAAGAATTTTACCGCAGACGCGACGCGAGACAGCTCGATGAATTTATTTTCCTAAAATAATTTAATGTGATTCATCCTCAACCTTCTCAATCACAAATTGAAAGTTTTGTCTATTAGGATATCACTTGGCTACAGGCTCAATTCTGGTATAATTAACACGATTTATAATCATGCAAATGCTCGATGCCGTCTAACTAAATTACGAACTTAAATGATAATCTAAGCGACAAGAATGAAATAACTGAACGATTATGATCGCACAAATGCACGACTGAGAACATGTAAAACTGACGAAAATTGAAATGGAGACTAAATATAACTACAAACAGACAAAGGAGGAAAAACAACAATCTTACTGATTGTCCTTTCTATACGGCTGAATGAAATAAACGCACTGGAAAATTAAAACGCATTGCAACTCCGCAAAGACTTTATGACTCTCTTTCACAATGCAAAACAGAGGCAACGCACGAGGTTCTGAAAGGTGAACTGATGATAACGTCACTATCCCAAACGACAGTCACAATCACGTCAATCATAGGTAGGATCATTTTCATTTGATTATTTAAGTGCCACTCTCGCTAAGAGCGGTCCTCTCGACTTCCCGTCGGAAAAAAAGTTTTCTTTTATTTTTTGCCCATGAAAAGGGTTTAGGACACATGTTTCAAAAATAGTTTAGTTGTTCTCCAATTCTCTTTTTTTGCGTCGCCATAAGCTAAAAATGATTTTTGGTCAGACCACCCCTGTGGACAGCGATCGAAAGTGTAAATTTCAAAGGTTTTGTCCAGCGCGCAGCGACTGCAACAATGTAGCTCACAGAATTCTATCTTGCTACAAGTTACAAGATGTATTCAGTTAGTTCACAGACAAAGTATGGAAACTTCAGCTGAATTATTTTTCATACCAGCGTGATCAGAGGAGACCCTTCTCTTCGACCTTAATTTGCATATCAAAAATTCACTACTTTGTACGAAAGAATTCTCAAAATGCAGGCCTTAATCGGGGTTAAAAAGCACATCAGTGCATAGTTTATACACCAATGAGGTCACGGATTGCCTCAAACACGCGGGTATATCTCCAGCTTCCATTCACCAACTTCTTAAAAACAGCGCAAATTCATGTGTTTGCTCAATTGCGCTCGTGTCAAAGATCATTTGCATGATTCTTAAAATTGACCAAGATCTCCTTTTGACCGTTCAAAATTCGTTGTTAATCTTCTACGTCGAGGATTTTAGGTTTTCACAGCAACTGAATGGAGATTAGATGCCGAGTTGTCCTAAAACGTTGCATAAACGTGATCGGTCGTAGACAAAGGTGATCGATCGGAAGGCACCTTCTCGATAATTTACGTTGAAATATCAGGTCATGAACAATGCACAGTGTGGAGAAGATCAAAATTAAAGAATAAAATTTAGCACTCTGGTCATAACAGACACATCGCGTTGCTTAAAAGGACACAAAAGCAAGTTAAAATAGGTTACAGTATTTATATTTACAAAGCAGCACGCATACACTCGGAAACAATTCTTGCAGTTTCTCCCGAGATTTAGTAAACGGTACCCAATAAACTAACCCCCCTTTCTGCAGATTATTTTCCATCACTAATGATGTTACGCTCTTATGGAACACAACGGTTTCGAGCGACAAACTCGACATTCCCCTGCGACCATCAAAATCAACTGGACAAACCCAGCTTGATATATTGCGTGACGTGATTGTGCAAATTTTTCCCCTTGCCCTATGGCCTGTCTGG